GTATAGCAGCAACTCGGCTCCAGGGCCGTCTGGCTTCGGGTGTGCTTTCTTTGTCCTGGCATAATGTGCGCCCTTTGGAAAACGCAAACTATGTCCTCTATCATGATCACAGCCGCATGGAGCGAAGAAAAGGGTCTTTTAACAAAGCCTCGATTTCAGAAAATTGCTCAAAATCTCTGTCATAGCACGATCAATCTTAAGGAATCAGTTAGTCTTAATCCTGACAAATCTAGTTTACTGCACCCTCATGATCCAACCTTCACCTAGCACTCAAGTCACCCAACGCTTAGCTGCTTACACAGTGGTCGTGGCGAATCATTGTGGTAGCCTCCCTAGAACGTCCGGAAACCCCTCCGTGTTTGGTAAACCAGGTTTCATCCTTTCATAGAAATCGTCAATTTTCCTACCTTGTCTTCATTTGTGTGCTCGTTTAATGGCAAAGTGATCATCATCTTGGCAGTTCTGATACGATGAAAACGAGGCTTTTTAAGTCTTAGTGCTTTTTTCCAGTACAGATCCATGGGAAAGGAGAGATTCAGCCGCTGGACTAACGTTTGTAACAGCACTGTTAATATATTGAAACTATAGCTCAGTCTCGCTGGTGAATACCAAGGCGAAGAACGGGCCACATTATTGAGATTTCTCGTCATTCTAAACGAATTCTAAGCCATTAACATCCACAAGTACTGCGAATTTTTCTTTGCCTTTTAGTCGACTATTTATACAACGGAATAGCATTTTGGGCTTATCATCATCCTTTTGGATACATCTTGATTAATCATATAAGCTGGCCTGATAGATCAACTTTTGAGCGCATTTCGTTGGCGGCAAAATTCATCGAGGTGTACTTGTGACTCAGTTTCCCTGATTAACTTCAAGTTTTTATTTTTTTTCTTTCACTTCCGTTACGGTTTCTTATCAAAAAGGCAGAGCAATTAAATGTTTTTTTGTGCCTTTGCTGTTCAAATGCTCAATTACCTTAGACAGTCTCTTGTCCTCTGGATCACCCTTGAAGAAACAAACCCCCTTTACGAACATCTGTTTGTTCGACCTTTCCATATATTTCTCTGCCATTCCGTTGCCGTCCTATGGTCACTCTAGCCGCGTGTGGCACTGGAATACACTTCATTAGTGTAAGATAAATCTTCTGTTAAAATATGCTAAAGCACCTTGGTATGCTGTTCTCTCGAATTCTAATTAGTGACGCGCAACTTTCAAATTCGGTTGCAAATGTCGACCTCCGAGAATTTTCACAATTTTCAATATGTTCATCGACTGGACGCTATTACGACTCTGAAAACCAAGTACACCAGTTTGCACAAACAGGACCGCCATCCCCAGGCGGCTATACTGAAGTCTTCACAGGAATATAGAACTTCACCATCCGCCTCGTTTTCGCCAGCAGTTCTCCCGGCCCTACGGAAACTATCATGGCTGAGTCGTTTCTTAAATTTGCCTAAATATTTCTGCCACTTGACATTTCCGAGCATAAAGCCTTTTTAAAACATTCCACAAAGCTATAAGCTAGATATGGGTATCCAACTAGCCGAAGCCTCGAACATAGGCAAGTGACCAAATTTGGGACTCAAACCCACTTTCCAAGACCAACGAGCCGCGGTGTTGTCCACTACACTATGCTACGTCGACGTGAGCGATCAAAGTTTTAGTTACTTAGGAAAAACCAATAGCCAACTACACGTTAACGATGGGCAGTTTGTTGTTCTTTCAGCGCTCGCTAGGCGAACAAGAAGCTTAGTGACGCTGAAGCGTGTTAGGTACGCAGATGAAGGTTATTCTGCATATACAATTCGCCATCAGAAAGTCCTGCATATGGAAACTGAGGCGAATAGCATGAAGCTATTAATCGGTTCAGAGAACTATCCGCCAAAGGAGCAAGACGAGACCAAACCGAACAAAAATAAGAAGGCTTCGGAAACAGATAGGGAGTTCAAAGGCGCAAGCCTATTTTTCCCTCAAATATACTGACTGACGATACGAGCATTGAACTTGCGCACGAGTCAAATGTCAGCGATAGTCCGGCAGGGCCGGGGCTCGAACCCGGTCTATTGGACAAACAGCCTGACATGCAACACACTTCACAAACGATCGGAGTTATGAGCCATCTTAGTTGCAGTTCTGCAACCAATCCTGAGGCCTCTACGCCGAAGGAGCAAGGCACGGCAAATCCGAAGAAAAATAATAATAAAGTTGGGAAGCGCTACAAAACAGGATGCTTCAGCAACAGATACGGGCATCGAGCATGTTGGAAAATCAAATGATAGCAAAGGGCCTGCGGGACCGGGGCTCGATCCTGGTCTATTGAACGAGCAGGCTGACATCCTTCCGGCTACGCTCACAAGCGACGTGGAATAGGGTCCAAGTTGCACTTATGCAAGCGAAGCGAATAGCTAAGTAGGCGTTACCGATGGGCAACATCCATCAGCAACACGCCAGTCATTGGAGACAACACGT